GTTTTAGATTTTGTGATTAGATTTTGAGTTCTCTAAATTAATATACAGTACACATTTCGGAAGAAATTAAATCTGACAGAAGTGTGTACAATTGGTGTTAGAAATGGAGAATTGATTTTTAATCCTTCTTTTGTAACCTGAGTCTTTTCTGACACAAATAAAATTTCATTCAAATTTCTCCGAAATAAAGGAGGATAGAATCCGGTTTTCCGCTTCCTAAAATATATTATTGATAGAAATTTTGAAGAAAAGATATTGAAAAATAATAAAATTTTCTACATTTTTTGAAATTTTTCTACAACAATAAAAAAATTGGGCTGGACAAAAAATCTAGATTGCAGACGGAAAGAACAAGAATATAATTGTAGATGGAGAATTAAAATTTAATTTGACGCCCTCATTGTTAATATAGCTTTGTACAGTATACAACTTGCTTGCGGCGATCCTGATAATATATATACATATAAATATACATATAAAATATATACACGTCGCATATATATTCAATAGCAATTGACATGAAGTCCTTTGACTATAGAAACTATAATGACGAGCTTTGATTACAGGTTTCTATATGTAATTCAAAGATTAAGCCACATAAACCAAGTTTAAAATATACATACATAATAATAAATTCATATTATATATATTATTCATATAAGATCGTTATATGAATAAATCATACAATTAAGGAAAAAGACTTCTACAGTCGCACGTTATTAGGTATTAAGATCTAGTCACGATAATATAGGACTTTTTTCTTAATTGTTTAAATTAAATTTAAAATATATTGCATATTTTTTTATGTGGCTTAATATTGTCGATTGGATTATGGAATGCGAAAGATAAAAAGAATCCAGATATACATATAATTCAAGGGAAGGAATTTAATGATGAACGACGGGATAGTCAAGTATGCAAGACACGCGGTTTCTGATTGTAATCGCGATTACGTTAAAGAGTCGTTTGCAAAACGCGAATTTCATTCTTCACAAACGAAACTGCGAGGTTATTTTACGATATCCAGATATACGTATCCACTAGATCCGAGGTACTCGTTACAATACAAATAGACAGTAATAACGGCAACGAACAATTGCAATTCGTGATACGAGCTAAATACCCTTCGCAAACGAATTGCATATGCATAAGATGGATTCAAGCACGCATTAAATTGGAGGAAAACAAATTATCGTGGGAGAACGTAACATTTGATATCGAATTTCTAATTAATTTAACGTATTGCTCATTAGCGGCATTAATGGGTGTATAATTAATCGATTTTTACATGAAATAATCAACACTTGCAGAGAAAACAATATGGAAAAAAAGAATCCTAGTTTTCCGATAAAAAAAAGATTGCCACAAAAAATGTAAAAAAAAATTTTTAATTCAATGTAAATAAATATTTTTGCAATTTCACAAAAATATAAATGTAATTAATTAATTAATTAAAATAAATAATAGCAATTATAAAATTAATAATTGTTTCGTGCGTAACAAATTAATCGTAGGCTTTCGAGTCTTCTGATTTTAATGCCTGTTTCCATCAATGTAGATTAACTTTCATCTTGGTTCAATTTACTCTTTATCTTTTTCTATAATACTAAGAGAAAGATAAATAGTTAAATCGAGATTAAAATAAATCTTACATTGGAAGAAACCGCATCTTACCGTTCATATTTTTATAGTTCTAAGAATTGAAAAAAGATAAAATTGAATCGAGATTAAAGTTAATCTACATCAGTAGAAACGGGCACAAATTAGAATAATAAAGTCAACATGTTATATTACCATACTCGATACTTGCAAGAAGTGATTAGATTCACTATGCAGGATACAAGAAGGATTTAGTAAACACGCGGGGCATTCAGTAACAGGCTGAAGCGATTAACAGGAATGAATGTTCAATCGTTATATCAAGTTAGGACATTCGCCAGATGTTCGCATTCGCGATGTATCTGTAACTCGAGAGGAACTCAGGAACAAGCTGGTGAGACTTGAGGGATAGTCTTGGATCATCGGGCCGTCTATTTACCACTTTTGGCACGTGTTTACTGCTGAAGAAGACGTGAAAGGTCACCAGTTGCGAGACCAAGGGGCTGCCACAGTTCCTCGAGTACCTGATGGCGTCGAGGGTCGCCGGGAAGTCGGTGCCGGGTGCGTGCATAGCGATCGATATCGGCGCTCGCCAGCGCTCCAGCAGCGGCTCCAGATTGTCGAGGAACGTGTAGTCAGCGTGCGTGGTATATGTCACGCTCTCCCAACATTTCACCGCCATGCTCATCGGCACATAATTATACAGCACCCAGTAATCGCCGCGCTGTGCCCGTCTAGGCTCTGTTGATTTCTCATTGCAGGCCACGGCTTCCCTCAGGCTCATTGGTTCGCGCGCGACGTTCGTCGTGTTGTTCCTCACCTAGACGAGAACGAGAAAAAGAGAGAGTCGCTTTAATCACTATTTGAGGGGGAAATTTGCATTTACATGAAAAGCAGCGGAAATACCAAGAATAGCGCAACGGCGATCGCCTACCAACCTAAATTCTTCTATGACATCCCGATTCGTTCAAACTGATATCACTTTCTACGAGCTTAGATACAAAAATAATATACCTCATTAACATTCTACGAGCTTAGATACAAAAATAATATACCTCATTAACATTAGAACTCATTAACCGCCGATGATATTCCGATAAATTGCCGAAGGTGTCAATTTGATAATTTGATATCCTTATTTTTGGTAAAAAGTAAAATTACTTTAATTTAATTTATATATTATTAAAATTATTAGGATTTTATAATGTTTATATATTTTCAATATTCTGTATATTTAACACAAAAAAATGAACAATAATAAGAATAATTAATGTCGAAGGACTTCTTGATGTTTAACAATATAAAGACTCAAGTAAGGAGAAGTAGAAGTCAGCGCGGTAATCGTTGCGCAAATATAATAATGGAAATGTTTATGTGTCCATTTTTAATATAAAAAGTATAAAAATATAAAAAGTTGATATAAAATCCGTACGCGTTTCGACTTACTTCAAGTCATTCTCAACAGTATCAATATAATTCTAATTTAGTATAAGTAGTGCATCAACCATGGTGCCAATCATCCAATATCACAATGAGATTCCTTAGCTTCATCCCAATTTACAAAAAATAAACAAATTGAAATGATTATTGGAGCCAAAATGGCACTATCGACGGTTCTAATGTTAATATTCCAATGAGGATGATACTAATACGGATGTATTTCAATCCCTATCATTCAAATTAATTACAATATGTAGTCTCCTAATTCCTGTTAATTCTCGATTATATCTTCATTTCACTATCATAAGCTATATCTAGCAATCGTATTTAGCAATTAATCTAAACATCAAGAAGCCATTCAAAGATGAAAAGAGGGATCAGGAAAAACAAAAGATAAAAGGAAGAAGCAATGAAAAACGGAAGGAGTACCGTCTGATTACGCGAGTATTCCTGCGGCTTATCAAGAGCCTCGGCCTTGGCCCTATTGGGAGGCGTCGTAGTGACGAGGCTAATCCCGAGAGAACGGCCAGCGCCACCGTTGTTTGTCGGCGCCGCATTATTTGTGGCGCCGACGAGAGCGGCTGACGACGACGACGAGGAGAATGATGCGCCAGCTGCGGCGCCTTTCTGAGTGCCATTTACGAGATCGTTTAGGCCATTTCCATAGGTATCCGACTGAAGCGGCGCTGCCGCCGCCCAGTTGGTCGGAGGTTCCTCGATCCACGGTCCTGATGAGCCGATGTGAGCGCACACATACAGTAGCACGCACACGTTCAGCACCACCGAGAGGCGCAGCGCCCAGTTTCTGCGAGCGATGGCTACGATGCTCATCCTCCAGGTCCGATCGAGGTGATGAAGAAACGCGAAGAGAGTCGGGAAGGAGGATCCTCTAAGAGAGAATCCTACCTGATGACGATGTCAATTTCCTCCACTGTCGTTATCAATGCTTAAGTCTACGATTCTCTTGCTGGCGTCGACCTACCGCGTCCATCTCTTCGCGGTCCACAACTGATTGGTGATCAAGACCTGCTCATGGTTCCTCGGAGGCTGTCGACCGAGGCTCGGTTGCGTGCAGCACCTGAAACATGAGTGGAAGGGAACCTTTGATTATGACGGAGGTCGCTACAAATTACTTCGTGAGTTATTCCGTAATTTTAACATACACACGCGAGTGCATGTATTATTAGGCGCTCGTTAAATGATTTCAATAGTTCTCCCTCAGGAAACAAGATTAATGTTCGTTTCTACCAATGTAGATTAATTTTAATCCTGGTTTAACTTATTTTTTACTCTCTTTCTAATGCCCGTTTTTACCAGTCTAGTTTAATTTTAATCTTGGTTCAACTAATTCTTTTCATCTTTTTCTAGTTCTAAGCATTAGAAGTTATATATTGATATATTATAAGTTGGATCAAGAATTAAAGTTAATCTACATTGGTCCAAAAATTAGAAAAAGATAAAGATTAAATTAAACCGAAATTAAAGTCAATCTATGTTGGTAAATAAATATGAAAAGTATACATCTGCACTATTGACATCTGTTTTGTAACTGTAAAATTAATCGTCTTTGAAAACATAAATTAAGTCAATGAAATCTATTGAGCTTGATTATTTATCTTAATTCTCTCTGAAGAGGTAATCGAGCATTTAAAAGCAAAAAAGCAAATTTATAAATGGCCCTGAACATTGAAACAATAAAAAATAGATTAAAGGACAACTGGGTAATGGTGCGGTAATTAATGCGCAAAAAATTTCTAGTAAAGAATATATTTACTTCATAATTGTAGCCAACAGAATTATTAGCATCGATTTTTCCGATGGCTACAATTATAAAATAAATATATTCTTTATTGGCAATTTTTTTGCACATTAATTACCGCGCTATTACCTTTAATTATTCTTTAATCTGTTTTTTTGCTATTTAAAATCAAGTTCCTTATTCCGACTTGTATAAGAGAACTTAAATTATACAAATATTATATCCCAGCTATATTGACGTAATCCATAAAATATATTTAATTAATATTTAACACATAGAATTATGCTACACAAATAAACGCCAGCAATTTTATAACGCTATTAAATAATTGCTATACAATTTCAAATGCTATGGCAGCGCTGCAAATAGATACACGTTGCTCCGCCCCGTTTCATCTCGCTTCAACAGCAATAGCTGCATATCTGTTGTTGGATCTCTTGTTTATCTCACGATCCAGTTTATAGCGCGTATACTGCATCGACGAGGACGACTTTCCCCTTATCTCGCATCTTCCTCCCCGTCAACGTGAAGTGTCGCAACTAGAGTTCCTTGCGTCGTATTCGTAACGCGACAATATTGAATCGGGCGGTCCAAATTGAGCAACGACGGATTCCTTCCGCGGGACCGCGTGCATCCCGTGATTTGAGCGAGCAAACGACGAGTGAAATCGAGAGGGAATGACAGGACAGTCATTATCGAAAGACGGAAAGAACAAGTAGATAATAAGAAGCGAGTCGTTGGTCTCCTCCTCGTGACCGATCTTGCGTCAACTCTACAGCAACGAACGGGACTTACGAGTCACCGTTGATAATTCGATGACTTTCACGCAGGAAGACGGGGGTTCTCCTTTTGCGTGTCTCTTGGATTGAGAATTTTTCAATTGATTTTCCTTTCGGAGAAAATTCCGAGACAATCTCATTTACGATTACACTGGAAAAAGTTTCATTGGAATTCTAGTAAATTAAATCAGAAAGAACAAACTTACAGTATATAAACACAATTAAATCTATCAAATTTAGATAACCAGAAATTTAATTACAATAACTAGAAATCTGTTTCACGCACTTTAAAAAATATCAGTGTGAATTTAACATCATGCAGTGTCTATATACAATAATTTTCAATGTGTTAATATTAATATTATGGTGTGGATTTAACATGGGTTTTAAACTCAAATCATAATTATTGATATCATGAAACATCAGGGGTTTTAAATCCCTGCTGATATTAATGTTATTAATTATTATTATCAAATATTAATTAAAATAGTAACACGTTTTAATATTAATTAAAATGTGTGTTAATATTAATTATTACTACTAAATATTAATTAAAACAATGTTATCATGGTTTAATATTAACATGAACGTGGTGAGAAATATATAGATATGATGTTAAATCTACATTGATTTTTTTAGTGTAGAATTTTAGTTTAGAATGTTTTATGTCCAATTTCTTCATTTCCAGATAAGTTGCGGATAATCCTTATCCAGAGGATATCTCCATTGTAATCTGAAAGATATTTCTTGGATAAGATTATCTAGAGGTGAAGAAATTGGGTAATATTTGTACTTCTTGTTGACAGACTACTTTTCTTAGTGTAACGATAAATAAAAAAAATTCGTTTCTTGTTTTTCTTTAGAGTTTTATAATTAGGAAACCATTGTATGGTTCGACCTTCGATAGGAAAACATTGTAATAATATTTTGTCACGAGAACAATTTATGCATGCGATATTCAATGCGTTATAAATCAGCCAGGCGTATTTCAATCTTAAAATTGGAATTATTAGCGGCGCATTAGGAAATTGCGCGCGATTTCTGCTTACAAAATTTATTCCGCGACTTAAGAAATATGCAGAAGCGTGTAATAAACTGCGCACTGACATATATGCCGTATTATCGACTCGTATTTCAAACGTAGTTGTCTTAGATAAAGCGCAATGAGATTTTTCTTTTCACGAAACGATAAAAAAATAAAAGGATAAAATGACTGATAAATGCAGAAATGCAGAAATAATAATTTATACTGTTATCATTTGATCAATAATTTTATATCGCCGTAAACATTATCTGCACGCAAATATTAGTATAAGATTCGGTGAGAAGAGAAAAATGTTTGTATTTATGTATGACTAATACTAATTTGTGTACAAATATTAAAATAATTATGGTTAAGAAATCCATTTTTACAATTATTAATATAATAATATAAAAAAATATTAAGTAATAATAATATTATATTTATAGTTGTATTATAAAAAAGTTGTATTATAAAAAAATGTATTATAAACCATAATAATTTCAAATATCAACATAGTAAAATATCAAGATTTATGTATCACAAATAAAATAAATGATTTTAAATAAATTTTCATGTAATAAATGCAATTGTAATTATAACTATAATATTTCTTGAATATTCGCTTACTATTTACATGATAACGATAAAAAATAAGAAATGTAAGAAAAGAAAAAAAAGATGTAAAAGAAAATAAGAAATAAAAGAAAAATAGAGATATAATCATTTTCATGATATAATTATATAAATGTATACCATTCGTGATAATCGTAATGCAATTGAATCAGCTATAATTTACTTAGTTAAACAACTGTAAATATGTAGCTGCCATCAAGAATTATAGATCATAGTACTGCAACCATTTTTTTTCAATGTGCGATAAGAGGAGATATCCAGCTATGCGATTTTTTTCTCATACAATGCGTAACTCGGATAGAAGTGATTTCCGATGTGGAACCGTCGTTGTTCACGATAAGAGCTCGATGCTCGATTTGACGACCGTGATCAATACTGCTCTTGGTCAAGAATGCTCATTAACACGTTCATTGCCATGATGGTCATTCGTAATTGATAAAATTTTTTTTAATGCTTATAAAAATTAAAAAATTAATGTAATTTAATTATTTGATAGCGAATTTTAAATGATATAAACAACAATATAACGATAAAAAGTATGCTAGTCAAAAGAGATATACATATTGTTATACATATTGTTATACATATTGTATAATATAACCATGTTATACAATTTGAATATCATATCATTACATGTGTTTACTTTCCAAATTTTTTGAGATAAAATCTCACTCTAAAGAGTGAAAATTGAGCTAGCCTTAAAAAAGAGTGACACAATTTTCAATCTTTAAGAGTGTAATTTCACTTTTCATAGTGACACTGACTCTACAAATTTTAGAGAGTATGATAACGAAAATTCTATTACACAATGTGACATAGTGAGTCATGCAAAACTCGCTAGACATGTGTTAATATTCGCGCCAAAGAACGAACAGTAACAGTAAAAAAAATCAAATAATTAACAGGGAATCGCGAAACGATGGGGACCATCTCGAAGCCGCGCCGCGAAGGACATGCACAGGTCTTGCGAGAGAAACAAAATCTGCCGAGCGAGGCAGATTTCATCATCGAAGCGACAGATTTTTAATTATTGACTTTCCGCAAAAAGCCGGTCATCCGTTCACCATCGATCGCACGGGGGAGGAAAACTCATCAACGACCGGGTGTAGGAGTTCTTTGATCGCACAGGAACGCAAATACGATCACTATTTTTAGCGAACATGCACCGCTTGTCATGCAATTCTCCCGTAAAAAGCTTGTGTTTATAAATACGGAAAGTTCGTGATAACAGATCCTGCCGTTATCTCGCGGAAATTTTCATTCGATTCTTTCAGCGTGGCTCGATGTGAAAACGATAGTGCAATCTATCATGGAACTTTTCTGTTGCAACTTAAAAAATATTAAAATGTTACAACTTTAAAAATATTAAAATGGCTGATAGCCGCGTTTTCCGTCACGCTTATTAGATCACGTTGAAATTTGCGCACGTTGAAATTTACAATTAGTTATTATCTTTCATTACATTATGCTATAATTTTAAATAATATGTATGTAAATATAAAATATTTATAAAATTTAGCATAATGTTAATTTTATTTATATAATTATGTATAGGTATATTATACCTATATAATATTACATTATAAATAAAAATAATAATTTGAAAATGGA